CTTTTACAGTCTTTTAAGACATTACATTGTTCTTAGGATACCTTGTTTACAAGGCATTCATGTCATAGCTCCTATAATATTCCAGTCACTTCTACATCCTACATGATTTATTTAGTTTTGGACTACTTTTGGTTTTGGTTTAAAACCTTGAAGATTTCACCTTTGAGTCTATCCAATTTCTAATGACATCTTTAATTATCTCAACAAACTTTGATTTTTAAATGTAAACCCTACCCAAATAGTTTTTGCCTTCTGTCAACAAGAACGACCCTCAACTCTCAGCTTCCATGTTGGAGGCAATTGTCTCCACTTTGGCTTATGCCTTTAAAATAAGAAATAACATCCCAAGATGATAAAGCAACACAAATCTGCCCCTTGTGCCAATAGACTGTAATGGGAATAATTACTGAAATCAACAGTTACATAATGAGTATTGAGTAGGGTACTGAGATGTTGTGATGAATGGGATATTTTAGAGAAAACTATCTACGTGAAATGTCAGATAATAAAATGGACAGTGCATCACATTGTGTGTATGTGTGTGTGTGTGTGCACATGTGTATGTAATTAATTACATCAACTTTTGTAAACACCTTTATTTCTTTTCATAGCTGGTTCTAAAATATTGGTGAAAGATCCCAGACCTGCACTGGGAACACCCAGCCCAAAGCTAAGTGGTTAGTAATGTCATTTGTTTTTCTAGAATTCATTATTTCTAAAAATGGTCTACTGTTTTCTTGCCATAGTAGCTGTGTATTTAAAAAACATATTTAAGTATAAAAACTATGACTGTCATGAATTTGATAATTCACAAGATGTTGAATTTAAAGCAATGCAATACAGTGACATGTTAGTATTACAAAAGTATTGTTCATAGTTCTGTCTGCTAAAACTATTGAAATTTTCCTTGAAGAGTATCTGTAAATGACTATAGCATAATGACAATACTTTCATTTAAAATATAAAAATAAGGTCTTATTTAAAATTTTTAAATGTATATGTTTTAAAAAGGATTCAAATACACTTGGTATGAGAATAAAGATCAGTAACTTCTAGGACTTGACCAGTTTATTTTCACTTATTTGATTTAAAAAGCCAACTAGAAAACCTAGTACAATCAATACAAACATAAACTTTAAAGCCCTACAATCTTGATGTAATTCCCATCTTATACACTCTCTTACATGTGACCTTGGAAAAAATTATTTTATATATCTGAGTCTCCATATATTTTCTATACAAAATAAATAATAATTAAATAATTATATAATAAGCTTCATGCAAATGAAGTGCAAAGTGCTTAGCCCATAGAAAGGGCTCAATATATGAGTTGCTTTGTATTAGACTGTTTTCACACTCCAGATAAAGACATACCCAAGATTAGGCAATTTAAAAAGAAAGAGGTTTAAGTGGACTCAGTTCCACGTGACTGGGGAAGCCTCACAATCATGGAGGAAGGCAAGTAGGAGCAAGTCCTGTCTTACGTGGATGGGGGCAGGCAAAGAGATAATGAGGAAGATGCAAAAGCAGAAACCCCTGATAAAACCACCAGATCTTGTGAGACTTATCTACTACCACGAGAGCAGTATCCATGATTCAATTATCTCCCACCAGATTCCTCCCACAACATGTGGGAATTATGAGAGTACAATTCAAGTTGAGATTTGGGTCCGACACAGAGCCGGACCATATCATTCTTATTCAATATTTGTATTTTTTATGTGATACTATTAAAAAGCTGCCAGTAAAATAAGAGCTTAATATCTTATCTTAACCTTGGAAACAGATTTCTCTCAGTTGTATTGGGCCAAGAACTACATTAGCATCTAATTGTAGTTGGGTTTAGAAGTGCTCCATGTACATACTATAAAACTGGAGGGACCATAAAGTTCTGCGATTTACACTGATACATTCAACACTTATTGAAAACATGCAGAATGCCATTGAGGAAATCAAAGAATACATAAAAGTAAGGCAGAGTTTATTTGCAACGGAGTTGGAAAACCATAATTGTTCATCAATGCCCCCAATTTTCTAAGGGCAAGCTTGATTTAGGACCAGCTGGAAACTCTGAATAGTAGCTCCAGCACATCAAATCTGTAAAGAACTGCTCATATATTAAATAATAAATAAAATTAAACAAATTTTAAAACAAAGTTAGTCTTCATAGCTCATATCTGACCAGGATGCAATTAAAGTTCAATAAGAAAATATGTAATTTAAAAAAATTCATGTATGTTTAGAAATTCAGAGCACAATTAGTACTAATAATTTGTGAATTAAAGAAGACATTAACACAGAAAATATATTAGAATTTAATTATTTTGAAAAATTTAAGTATCAAAGCTTGAGGGCTATTAGAAAAGGAAAGTTAAGAGGGAAATTTGTGCCTTAAATCCTTACATTATTGGCCGGGCGCGGTGGCTCATGCCTGTAATCCCAACACTTTGGGAGGCCGAGGCGGGCGGATCACGAGGTCAGGAGATCGAGACCATCATGGCTAATATGGTGAAACCCTGTCTCTACTAAAAATACAAAAAAAAAAAAAAAAAAATTAGCCGGGCGCATTGGCGGGCGCCTGTAGTCCCAGCTACTCGGGAGGCTGAGGCAGGAGAATGGTGTGAACCCGGGAGGCGGAGCTTGCAGTGAGCGGAGATCATGCCACTGCCCTCCAGCCTGGGTGACAGAGTGAGACTCCGTCTCAAAAAAAAAAAAAAAAAAAAAAAATCCTTACATTATTGAAGAAAAAAGCCTCATAATTAATTAGTTGTGTCCCTTTAAGAGAACATTAAGACTATAACAGTAACAGGGCAGAAATCTTATAATAATAAAAACAAGCAACCACCCAAAACAATAGAAGAATCTCAACAGAACCAAATGCCATTCTTTTTAGAAACAAAGTAGAAAAATTTCTGGTAAAAATAATATAATAAAGAAAATGTGAGCATAACTACATAGATTAATGAAATTCAAAACATATTAAGGGAAAACTGTCAATAACTATCAACATTTAAAAACATTTACACAAAACAGACAAATTACTAGAACACTACATCTTACTAGAACTAACTAATAAAAGAATATGTGAATAATTTTATAACAAATAAAGAACTGGTTAAAATTATTTCCACAAAGAAAATGAGGTCTATGTGGCTCTACTGGTAAATTTCACCACATTTTAAAGGAACAGAATGGATCTTTCAAGTTTTATAAAATCTCTTCTAGACAATAAAATTCATTCTCTAGGCTCAACATATCTCTAATAACTCAGATAAAGATATTATAAAGGCAAAAAAATTCCGGTCCATTTGACTCAGGATTATAGATGAGAAAATCTTACATAAAATCTTAGCAAATCAAATTCAACATTGTAGTAATGATAATCCACGTGAAAAGGAAAACTTCAGCTAAATTAAATTTAAAGGAGTTTAATTGAGCAATGAACAATTTGTGAATCAAGCAGACCCCAGAATCACAGCAGATTCAGAGAGACTCCAGGGTGCCTCGTGGTCAGAACAAATTTTTAGACAAAGAAAAGGAAGTGTACAGAAATCAGAAGGGAGGGACAGAAACAACTGGATTGCTTACAGTTCTGTGTTTGCCTTATTTGAACACATTTTGAACACCCATCAGTGTATGAATAGTGGAAGTACAGCTGCTGGGATTGGCCAAGGCTCAGCTATTGTTTCAGGTGCATATTCTTAAATTAGGTTTTCAATCTTGTGTGCCTATTAAGTTAGGTTGCAGTTCATCTACAAGGACTCAAATATAGAACTATGGAGTCCTTCTCAGGCCATATTTAGTTTACTTTAACACCCACAAGAACCAATTTGGATTCATCATAGCTATGCAGGGATATTTTAGTTTTAAATAATCCTTAAAAGTAATGTATCACATTAAGAGATTAGTGCAAAAAATTATAATTGCAATATTTGCAAAGAAAGTATTTGATAAAATTTGACACCTATTTATAATTTTTAAAAATTCTTAATAAATTCTAAATCTTAGTAAAATTATTTATAAAAATTATATGGCAAATAGCATGTTATGTGAGAAAACCTTCAGCAGTATTTCATTTAAAATCATGAATAAGACACAGTGATTACATTACTCCAAAGTAATAAGAATGGAAGCTGGCAATGGTATCAAAGTAAGGAGCTATATTGCTTATAAATTATCATGGAAATAAAAAGTTGTTACTGAAATATTCAGTAGAAACTCAACTCTTAGGGTATTTTTATGCTGATCCGTCACAGTGGTTTTGCTTTCTTGGTTTAATAGTTTAATAGAATTCAGGGAATACACAGCTTATAACAGAAATCCCTGTGATCTGACTGGTAAGAAGTATGATACATGCATATATCAGATGAAAAATCATCGATAACTTGTTAGACAAATTAAAAAAAAGGACTTTTTTCCTAAATCCACTTCATTCACTCATTCATCTAAAGAAACCTGGGCCCCTTGAATACCTGATTTCTAGGGATGCGCTATGCTGTGAGGTATAGGATTAATGCAGCTTCTCTTAGCTGCTGCCCAGAAGCTGTGTAGACTTTGACATAACTAATTTATATAACTCTAAATTACATAAATAATTTATATAAATACAATAAGTCTTTTTGGCTAGTATCTAAAATAGTGTTTTTTCTTTAGATGAAAATTTTATGAGCTTTAGAATGTTCTTTGATTCTACCACACTATATCTCTCACCCTGGAGAGTCCAATAATACTAGTGATAATTTCTAAAAATACCTGTATACTTCAAAGCTGTCAATATGATAGAGCCCTGTTCTTCTTCAGGAGCATCTGTTATTAGAAGAACTAAACTCAGTATTCTATGAGGGGGAACACAGAAGCACTGTCTGGTGATAATTTTGCAGGACCTTTCTGCAAAGGCGGAGTTTAACTCTTTGCTATTCCTCTTAAAAATCTGTTCCCACTGCTAGAAAAAAAGCAGGCCTCTTGGGACTTGTGTATAGTTTTACTGCCATGGTGCTGTGTAATTATTTTATTTTCCTTCAGAAAGAAATATATTGTATAAAAGACCAAATATAAGTGAAGTTTATATTTACCTGGGTTCTAAAAATAAACCTAATGTCTTTAACTGGTGTTTTCTATTTCTCTCTTATCGATAACATATGAACAAATCTAGATTATTACAATGTTGATTTATTCTAAAAAATGGAAACACTTTTATATGAAGAATTAATTTTGTAACACATTCAACATTATTGTATATTTAGCAATACATCATTATTCAATAAACTAATACTCTAATGCTTGTATTTATATGGCATTGTACAATTAATGTGTAGTATATTTAATCTATTCACAGTTCCCGATGATGTATTTGCCCAAAATTATATATGGAAAGGCTCTTACAATTTCAAAGGAAGGAAACAACCCATGACCTTGACGGTTACTAGTTTCAATGCTTCCACTGGGAGAGTTAACGCAACACTGAGCAATAGCAACATGGAGCTGCTACTTTCAGGTATCGCAATACAAACAGCAATGAAATATACCTTCATGCCTTTATTTCTATTATGATTTCATCATTTTTATTAACACTTTTTATATGGTGAAATGTTTATTTTGATACATTTGCTTTTGATGACATTCATATTCACTCAGAACCAAGGTTTTCTGGTTTTTGGATTGATGAATGAATATTACTACAGAAATATAAAACTAGTTTTAAAATAAGTTCCTTCAATAATTTTTGGTAGCTAGAATTAGATGTCATATATTAGATCACAACTTTTAATTTAGGTATGAATACAACTACATCTTTCTCTATTCTCATAAAACCACAGAGAACAAATCAGTGATTTCTCAACTATTCTGTGGCCACAAAACTATTTCTTCAAATGACCATGTTTAGATGGATATCCAGTATTTAAGACAAATAAAGATAGAGCTATACTTGTTTAAATAGGCATAAGGGAACCAAAGCCTGGTCAATCTCCTTAAGTTTCTGTTTTCTCTGTCCAGTACACACATCTCTCATTATCTTTGATTGCACTGGTTTTCCTAACACTCAGATATTCTCTCAAAAGTCACCTCCTCAAGCAATACTCCCAGTGAGCTGACCTAAAGGAACCTTTGTATTAAAAATGCTGTCAGACATATTCTTAGTTTTAGGCAGCCTTACCTTGTTTTTTTCTTTTCAATATTTGAAATTATATTTGTTATATTTATTATTTATTATGCATCTATATTCTAACAATATAAAATAAATTCTAAGAAAGTTCTTTGCCTTCCAACTAAATATTGTATTCCCAGAGGCTAGCAGAACATCTGAGACAAAATAGGCCTCAATAAATATTTTCAAATTAATGCATTTGAATTATAATTGCTCTCATTTTTCAAAATGAGGCACTATGATATTTGATATTGCAAATATGAAATATATACTGTAAAATTCTTGTCTATATATATAATCCATATAAATATTAATAATGATATAATTTGTGCTGTAAGAAATGGAAAATAAAATTATATTCATTGATTTTCTAAGTTCTAGAAGAAAATATATTGAGTGTCATTCTTATTATTGATTGATCCTCCATTAAACACAAAGTAAAAATATTAGAATTTAATATGTAGTATAATTTTTAAAATACATATAATTACATTATATTAATCGAAAGAAACTTTAAATGAATGAAACATTCATTTAAATACATTTCAATTGTGGCTCATGCTTTATTTAACTTTGATGTGTTAACAAAATTTTTCTTTATTTTCTATAAAAGAGCCCAAAATAAATGTATACTTATTCTAATCTAGATGGACGAGTTTTCTATATATATGGAAAGACAAATAATTAGATGAATTTGCTTTCACTTACTGTCTCCATATAAACCAATTGTAGCGATTTTTCAGCAATATTATTATCGATTACTTTTATGTCTTCCGCCTATTGATTATAATTTACCTTAGGCCATGATCTATGTCTCATTGTCTTTTCATACCCTCCATATTATGGTGCCCTATTACATAGGTGAACAATTAAGTTAGAATCAACGAATACAGTCAAGTTTTAAACAACGGTTAATCAGATGTTTTTCTGAGATCCTATTTTCTATTATTTCCCTAAACATGTTTGCACTCCAGCTTATTGCTACCCTTAGAACACTTACTGTGTAAAAATCATTGTATATATTTTTGCTTCTCTTTCTTATGCCATTGCTTGTATTTATCTTCCCAAATTAAAAATCCCACTTTATTTTTAAGAACTAGTTCAAATACTTTTTTTTTTTTTTTTTGAGATGGGATCTTGCTCTGTCACCCAGTCTGGAGTGCAGTGGTGCCATCTCGGCTCACTGCAACCTCTGGCTCCTGGGCTCAAGCCATCCTCCCACCTCAGCCTCCTGAGCAGCTGGGACTACAGGTGCGTGCCACCATGGCTGGCTACTTTTTGTATTTTTTGTAGAGATGGGATTTTGCCGTGTTGCTTAGGCTGGTCTGGAACTCCTAAGCTCATACTTTTGGACTTAAGCGATCCGTCCGCTTTGGCTTCCAAAAGTGCTGGCATTACAGGTATGAGCCACCGTGCTTGGCCCTCCAGTGCTTTTCCTTAATAACTATTCCTTGATCCTTCCAGTGTGAAATGATCTCTCTCTGGCTTTTAATTTATCACATTCTCTCATGTGTTTTATTTAGCTGTTTACCTTACTTATACCTCCTTATACCTCCTACTTTGTTGGAAATTATTAAAAATAGGAACAACATATATTCCTATATGCTGCTGTAACTCAAGCAGCACCTAGAATACTCTTTTTTCACAGAGTTGTCACCTAATTTATTATTAAGGAAAATATCAGGAATTTTAGCACTGGATTTGTATGCTTGAAAATTTCAGAATCTGATTGTGGGAAGAAATCATTTTGTTTTGAATATCATGGGATGATGTTATTAAGAACACTAGTGCTTAATTGTGATAGTATAGGTAATTTAAGCCCCACAATTAAGAAATAAGTTGAGGATTTCAGAAGACAGATAAATCAATGTATATTACACGATTTGCAAAGAGCATTATAGGTTAAGCCATCTTTGACTTGCCCTTGTTTTATTTCTTCTTTTATTGCATATCTTTACATAATCTATTTAAGGAATGATAGATAATAAAATGAAGTATAAGTATTTACAAAGTTAAGTAGACTAAAGTGTCCTTGCATTTTACAGGGGTATATAAAAGCCAGGAAGCTCGCCTAATGTTACGCATATATCTTATTAAAGTACCTGCTCATGCTTCTGTGAAAAAAATGAAGGAAGAAAATTGGGCAATGGATGGCTTTGTAAGTATAGTTATTTCAACATCTGCTGCTGATTTTAATGATAAATTTATAGCTTGTTCAGGAAATGAGAGTTTTCTAAATTTAGCTAATTATGAATACATACACATACATATATATTAGTAAATATAAATATTTAGTATTCTAAAGTACGAGCCTAGGAATACTGGATTCTGATGTGCTTTGCTTACTTTTTTCGTGTGTGTATGGTGTGGGGAGTGGGTGTATGCGTGTGTGTGTGGGGGGGTGTATGTGTGTGTGGGTGGGGTATGGGTGGATGTAGGTGTGTGTATGTGTGTGTGTGCTGATCTGCATTTAGTTTTTCACTGATTTCATCAAATATATTCCATCTACAGTCAGCACTATGATAAATGAATCTGGATAAAATGTAATTCAATCTTTGGAACACTACTACTTAAGGAATATGCAACATATTTAGAAAGTACATCAGAAAATTAAATATTCCTGTTATATTGAAGCATGAATTTAGGCTATTTTATGAAGTCCATGAAAAGGAACTTATGTGAGCTGCTTCCTGTGGGGAGAGAGTTACTGTAGCTTCACTATGGAGTCACTTCTTCTATTAAGTGATTTATGTGAGTGGAGTTTTAAGATTGACAGTGGAAAACACAAGGGCCAGGAGTCTTTGCTGAAGAGTCAGCATGAGAGATCTGACTGTATCCTCTCAAGTGCCAAGCCTTTTTTTTGTAAGGAAAACTTAATGGTAAAGAAGATACTGTAGTGGGTCATAGGCTACTATGTAGTAGCCTTCGATAAGTTTCAATAAGCCTTCAATAAGTTCAAGAAACCTACTATCTAGTAGGCTTCAATAAGTTTGGTTCCTGAGGAAAAAAAGCGTTCATCCTATTTCTGCATTCTGTATTCATGGAGTTGGGAACTAACTCAAATCTTCAATGCACTCAGATTGTTTAATTGTATTATTTTATGTAGGAAACAAAGTGAATTGATTCATTAAGATATTAGAGTTTGAGCTTCTCCTTAGAAGTACTTTATTTTTTAAGGTGGCCACACCCAGAGTATAATGTCTGATAATAAAGAATAAATCACTTGTTGTGAAATGTCAGACTTCCAGGGGTGGTTTGGTATCCTTTGCTTTTTAGAGTGAGGATTCAAGATTTTTACAACTTTTATAATAACATTCATGACTTAGGTAACTAATTGCCATTAATTAACACAAACTTCAGGATACATCACTTTACTACTTAGTAGTAGGAATTGCTGAAATGTAACATTTCCTATTTTACTTATGAGATCAAATTACATTATGCATAGAAAGTACTTTTTAAATATAATATTTTATACAAATGCAAGGCGCATGTAGTATTTAGCATTGGCAACATTAGACATAGCCATGAAGCCTCTGGGTCAAACAATAATAAGTATGTAGTTATTTGTCATTTGTAATGGGTTAGCTGTGGAGGCACTACTTGAGGCTGTGGTATTAAGTCCAGGTCTTCATGTCTCATCATCTCATTTTGGCGCAACGTCTGAAAGGGCACTTGCTGCCTAGAGCGTGTACTTCTCTTGTCAGAAGTCCAAAACTCTTAGAGGAGCAAGTGGTTCTGAAATAAGCTGGGATTCTGAAATAAGCTCAAATCCATTGACTTACGCCTTTTTCTTGCAGCTCAATGTAGACATAAGTCACTTATCCTACAATTCACCCACTTAAAAATGTGCAATTCAGTGGTGTTTAGTATATGCACACATATATGTAACCCTCATCATAGCTGATTTTAAAATACTTTCTTTTTTTGGGGCAGGGGGGCGGGGAAGAGTCTAACTCTGTTGCCCAGGCTGGAGTGCACTGGCATGATCTCGGCTCACTACAACCTCCACCTCCCAGGTTCAAGCGATTCTCCTGCCTCAGCCTCCTGAGTAGCTGGGATTACAGGCACACACCACCACCTCTGGCTAATTTTTGTAATTTTAGTAGAGATGGGGGTTTCACCATGTTGGCTAGGCTGCTCTCAAACTCCTGACCTCAAGTGATTCGCCCGTCTTGGCCTCCCAAAGTGTTGGAATTACAGGCATGAGCCACCTCTCCCAGACTAGAATACTTTCTTCATGTTATAAAGAAACTCCACAGCCTTTAGCTATCAATCCCTGCCTTACATTCTCAAACCAGCTCTAAGTAATCACTAATCTATTTTCTGTCTGTATAGATTTCCCTGTTCTGACTTTCATATGAATGGAATCATATAATATGTGGCCTTTTGTGGCTGGCTTCTTCCACTTGGTGTGATGGAAAGTATGGCTCTTAAGGCCTAGGCTTGCAACTGAACTATTGTCAATCCCAACCCCATGCTCCAGAGGCCCAAGCAAGTCACAGGACCAAGCCCCAATTCAATGAGATAGGGAGTAAACTCTTCTCATGAAGATTGGGGGAGCAGGGTGTGGAACTGTAATAGAATTTACAAAGTACAGTATTTTTATGTTTTAATTTTTAAATGATCATTGTATTTCATCGTGTCATTGCTTTTTATTGACAGCAGATGTCTTAACCTCTAAGAAATCTATAACTATATTATACATTAATAACCAATCTCTTTTTTGTATATCATAATTATTTCAAATTAGAAAATTTACTTTTGCTTTTAATGATGGAAAATTTGCACAACGTGCTATGTTTTGCAAAGGAGGAAAATATAGAAGAAAGGAACTTGTGATAATATTCATTTCAGAAAAAAATTGTGTATTTATTAAGACTGGGAAAACATAGCTATGACCAGTATTCAAATATATTTGGTTCTTTAAATATTTTTAGGTTTCTGCGGAGCCTGATGGAGCTACTTACGTATTTCAAGGATTTATTCAAGGCAAAGATTATGGACAATTTGGCCTACAAAGACTGGGTAATTTATTCATTTTGATTTTCATGAACTTCTGTTATTATTCCAGACATCATTAAAAAAAAAAAGACTGTGGATTCTGTACATTAGGCACACTTACTACATTGTAAATTCTGCACTGCCAGGACTATGCATTGTTTCTTTGAAAACCCTTTTAAATAATGACATTCTTCAAAATATCGGATCTTTATGTACCAACTCTGTATAGTGTTTAGATTTTCATGATATTTCTAATAAATATGACAAACTGACTTGCCTTTAAGCACATAAAAAGGAGAAAAAGTGATGTAGATAAAAAAAGAAAATATTAAACTGTAAATTATGTTATCATATCTCATGAGAACTGTGCTACTTTTCTTCAGTTTGAATATTGTCACAGTTTTCACTCCTCTGAAAATGCAGTGACACTTTCAGAAACTCATACGGTCTGGAACGAGAAAATAACTTTGAGGAATGGGCCCCTTTTGGGGACTTGGTGCTCTTCAAATATGTAAATTTTCTGCAGTGGGAAGCAAAGAACTTTGTCATTTTTATTTCCAACTCTTCTATATATATATGTAAACCTTTAATGGTCTTGCAAGAATGTGTTTATACACATAGCTTTTGGTGTATAATTATCCTAAGGTCTACTGTCTCCCATTATTTATACTGTGACTGGGATACACTAAGAATAAATTCAGGCTCTAAAAATTATTATTTGACATTTATCTTTTAAGAAATTAACTTTTTTTTTGATACAGAGTCATGCTCTTATCACCCAGGCTGGAGTGCAATGACGCAGTCTTGGCTCACTGCAACCTCTGCCTCCCTGATTCAAGGGGATCTCCTGTTTCAGCCTCCCAAGTTGCTGGGATTACAGGTCACCATGCACACCACCATGGCAGCTGGAATTAGCCACCATGACTGGCTATGTATTTTTAGTAGACACAGGGTTTCACCATGTTGGCCAGGTGGGTCTCAAACTCCGGACGTCAGGTGATCTGCCCTCTGGCCTCTCAAAGTGCTGGAATTACAGGCATGAGCTACCACGCCTGGCCAAAAATGAACTTTTTTAAAATTTTGAACTTTTACATAGCTGTACTACGTCACAGGAAAAATAAGGTGAAAACTAAGATATTAATTTTCCTTAACCTCGACAAAGGTGAGGTTTAGTTAAATGTAACTGTTTATCAAAAAGATAAATTAGCTTTCTCTACATGAAAAATAATAAGGTGCCATTTACATCACATCCTGCCTGTGTTCGTCTTAAAAACAGGATGAAACACTCATTAACATAGTGCATTTACACAGTTGTGTAATTTAGTGCTGAATATTTTCATGTAATATTCTCCAAAGTGTCTCAAACACTACAAGTCTGAAGCAGAACCCATAACAAAGGAACTACTTCCTTTTGAGAAAGAACTGCTAGCTATTTCCTTTTCCCTCATTCCTGTGCAAATGTGTCGATAAACACAGCTTTTCTCATTTCCTAACTCTGCGGATGCCATCAGCATTTACTGAGCTTCAAGTAGAATACTTGTAATCCTGTGTCTTTTTGCCTCTTACATCCACCTAAACAAGTTCTGTTAATTTTCATTAAGAAATCTTCCTCAAATCTATTGTCCCATGCACTTCCTAGCTTCCTAGTGCTCTAGTTTAAATTTTAATTCCTTTTTTTTTTAAATCTCGATTGTCACTACAATTTTCTAACTACACCTGATTCCAGTTTGTATTCCCTGAAGTCCAACCTACTACAGTCATGTTCTAAACCTCATGTCATATCACTGGGGCTTTTGTTTCTAAACACCTTCAGTTGTTCCTCACGGAGGTGGATAGTAACTCGGGCCAGGCGCCATTGCTCATGCCTGTAATCCCAACACTTTGGGAAGCTAAGGCAAGTGGAACTCAAGAAGCTAACTTGAGTTCAGGAGTTCAAGATCAGCATGGGCAACATGGTGAAACCCCATGTCTACAAAAAATACAAAAGTTAGCCAGGTGTGATTGCATGTGCCTGCAGTCCCAGCTGCTTGGGAGACTGAGACAGGAAGATCGCTTGAGCGAGGGAGGTGGAGGCTGCAGTCAGCCATGACCACTCCAATGCACTGTAGCCTGGGTGACAAAGTGAGACGGTTTCTCAAGAAAAAAAAAAGAAAGAAAAAAAGAAAAAAAAGTTTGGGTTCGTCAGAATGATATTTATTCCCTTTTATAGTCTAGCCATAGTTTATTGTTTTAATCTCCCACTCCTATCTCATGTCAGTGCTTGTCACATCCACTACCTAAGTCACTTACCTTCCCACTTCTAGGCTTTTGATGATTTTTCAAGTCCATGTTGTATATCCTCCAGAATTACTTCTTTCCTTTCTAAAACACATTGACCGTTAATTCATGCTTGATATATACACTTATTAGTATCTCCATACGTCTTCCCACTGTTGTATAAACTCCTTAGTTCAGGGACTCTGCTTATTTTTCAGTCTCTACCCTTTCCTGGAAAAACATATCTTCTACATAAAAGGCATTGTCCAAACATATGTGAAAATGAGTTGAAGGAGTTTCATGAATTATTTTTGTTTACTATGTGATTTCCAGGTAGATATCTTGAGAATGGAAGAAATTAATTGATACATGGGAGTAGAAATTAATTATGATAAAAGAGTTGATTTTGTATTTATAATTTATTTTTTATTTTGTAGGACTGAATATGTCAGAAGGTTTAAATTCTTCAAATCAACCTCATGGTACAAATAGTAGTTCTGTGGCCATTGCTATTCTTGTGCCTTTTTTTGCACTTATATTTGCAGGATTTGGATTTTATCTTTATAAACAAAGGTAAGCTCATTGATTTTTAGCTACAAAATGTTTCCCAAATCTATTTTTCATATTATTTCTGCTGCTGTAGCTCAAATCTTAATTTCAGATTTTTTTCTGTGTTGTTGAAATCTCTGTGTGCTAACTATTGCTATAGTCGTTGAAAAACTTATTTCCCCTAACCACCCCTGCAACACTACATACAAGGTAACAAAAGTGCTCTTTTAAATTGCACAAGTATTCAGTGTAACCTTTCTTTTGCCTGTCAATTTCCTGACGTGCACCTAATTATAGAAGTTATTTCTACATTATCTATAATGAGATTTTAGAGACAGAAAATCTAGGTTAAAGTTTAAATTGAAGAGGTAATATCTACTGCCAGATACATTTAGAAAACTAGGAAGAAGCTTGTGTTCAAACCTCTTAGTTCACATAAAAACCCTAACTGATTTTACCCAGGCAGACAGATGGCAAAATCCTCTAATCTACTCATTCATCTTCTGTTGCTTTTTGGTGAATTGTAATTAATATATTTGTGATAGATCTAATACATAGCTGTATATATTATTAGTAGATCCTGTTCTCTCAGTCCATTACAAATCCTGGTGAGTGCTTTACTATGTCCCACTATTTGGGACACTCCCTTATTAAGAGAAAATATGTGGGTAGCCAGATAATTAAATGACTATAACCTAAATGCCTTTCCTCCAAAATTGATTTTTTTTTTTTTTTTTTTTTGAGACGGAGTCTCGCTCTGTCGCCCAGGATGGAGTGCAGTAGCACAATCTCAGCTCACTGCAAGCTCCACCTCCCAGGTTCACACCATTCTCCTGCCTCAGCCTCCCGAGCAGCAGCTGGGACTACAGGCACCTGCCACCACGCTCGGCTAATTTTTTGTATTTTTAGTAGAGATAGGGTTTCATCTTGTTAGCCAGGATGGTCTCCATCTCCTGACCTCGTGATCCACCTGCCTCAGCCTTCCAAAGTGCTGGGATTACAGGTGTGAGCCACCGCAAAATTGATATTTTCATTTGGGGTCATTCTGCAACATCTAAGAATGATTTATTTAGTATTATATAAATGCGTACTGAAAGTGAATTACCAGCTACTTAGGTCTAGCCAATATCAGATTTTATTGATAGATAAAGAATAATCACTAAATTTATTTATAGGACAACCTATGTCAACTTTTTAAAAATTGTGGTAAAATAGATATGACATAAACTTCACCATTTTAACCATTTTAAAGACCACGATTCAGTGGCATTTAGTGCATTTGCAGTCCCATACAACCGTCGTTACTGTATATTTCCAAAATATTTTGGAACCCCCAAAATGCCAAAGGGAAACTGTACTCATTAAGTTGTCACTCCTCACTCCTCTCACCCAGTTGCAGGTAACTACAAATCTGTTTGCTTGTTCTGCATATATTTTGCATAAATGGAATCATACAATATGTGACATTTTGTATCTGGCTTCTTAAACTTAGCAAAATGTTTTCCAATTTTATCCATGTTATAGCATGCATCAGTAATTCATTCTCTTATATGGCTAAATCATATCCCATTGTATGGATGAATGTGTCCATTCATCAGTTGATGGACATTTGAGTTGTTTCTACCTTTTGACTACTGTGAATAGTGCTGCTGTACACATTTGTGTATAAGTTTTTGTTTGAACACTTATTTTCACTTCTTTTTGGTATATACCCAGGAATGAAATTACGGGAATATGTGGCAATTCAATGTTTAATTTACTGAGTAACCGTCAAGCTGTTCTACACAGCAGTGGCACGATTTTCCACTACTGTCAACAATGGATAAAGGTTTTGCTTTGTCCAGAGCCTAACCAACACTTGTTATTTTCTGGGTTTGGGGGGCTTTTGTTTGTCTTTTGTTTTTCATTATAGCCATCCCAGTGTATGTGAAGCTTTATCTCATTGTGGTTTTGATTTCCATTTTCATAATTATAAGTGATGTTGAGCATCTTTTTATGTGCTTGTTGGCCCTTTGTCTATCTTTGTTGAAATGCCTATTCAAGCAGTTTGTTCATATATAACTTGGGTTGTTCGTCTTATTTGATTGTAAGAATTCTCTATATATTTTAGACACTAGACCCTTATCAGATACATGTTTTGCAAACATTCTCTCCCTTTCCGTGGGTTGTATTTTCACTGTCTTGAGAGTGTTCTTTGATGTACAAAAGTTTTCCATTTGATGAAGTTAAATTTAGTTTTTTTCCTCTTACCTGTACTTTTGATGTTAAATCCAAGAAACCATTGCCAAATTCAAGGCCATGTGTTTTTCCTAAGAGTTTTATTGATTTAGCTCTTGTGTTTAGGGCTTTGATTCATTTTGAGTTAAATTTTATTCATTGTGTGAAGTTTTAAATCTTGATGATATTTTCCTTCAAGTTGTTGTTGAATATTAAGAAAGGGCAATTATTTTGTATCTTCATGATTATTACCTAATAAGAAGGCAATGATGTTGCTTTTGGTTTTTATTTTAGATCTAGTTTTGAAAAAAAATGTGATCCAGTAGAATTATAGTATTAGACACACCTAGTAAGAGCCAGTTATTAGCTTTCTCCCAATAACCTAAGGTAGTTTCTTTTATAATTATTGTCATAGAAATCACCTAATATTTTGGAAATATAGATAAATTCAGAAAATGCATTAGTGACAGTAAAATAATATAACGGCATTACAAATTACCATAAAATTAATAGTTGAAATTTGATTGTTCAGTATAAACAACACCAGAGTTGAGAAACGAATTTATTTTAAGATATATCCGTTTTAGGAATTAGGCCCCAGAAGCAAATAGCAGCAAGTCTGTCTGTCTTCCATTGCAAATGTGAGCAAGTTATATATGCTTTGTGGGAAAGATAAACAAGATTAGCATTAGTCAAAGGTGGAAGAAATAAAGAAATGAATCAGAATTTCAAGACCAGCATCCTCAACCAACTAACCCAGAATTCATGTGTCTGGTTAACTTAGTGTCAGTAATCTTTTAGAAACTATTTTCACTACTTGAGTATGAGTGTAGCCATTTCTTCTTTGACTTTTTGAATTTGCATACTTTAATGTGTACCATTTAAAAAATAAAATTGAGTGTTCATGTTTTGGGATACTCCAAAGTACCTTTCCAAATTAAGCCTCAGCATTAATTGTGTACTTTTCAGGGAATCTCCTTCTCTTTTTAGTGTGGAAGCAACTTTTAATTCAAGTTTCAGATTAAATTTTACCTCCTAAAACATACTTTTTTCTATTACCTTTCCTAAAGTGGCTTCCAGTTACTTTTCATATTAACCATTTTCCTTTTCATCATCATAATTCTCATTAGCTACTATTTTTGGTTTTATTTATTTTAATTTATTCTTGTTTTCTATCACTACAGTGTGAACTCCCTGAAAGTAAAGACTAGTCTTTTAAAAAAAAATTATATACCCAATGCCTAGAATCATGACTGGTGTGTAATAGATGTTCAGTAAATATTTGATGAACAAATAAATAGCAATGAGACTTAAATCCATCATCATTATTTATACCATAAATGATAAGTCATAATAATTCCTAATTTTGTAGTAAAAAAATTTATTATAGCCATCATATCATTTATTTATAGTTATGTTAATAATATTGATGCTGTATATAAATATGTATTATATGTAAAATTAAAAGTCACTCAAGTTTTTTAAGTAACAAGGAAATTGTTCAAGATTGACTTACTGTGTTTATGATGTCTCAATATTTTTAAGTTACATTATTTGCTAATGCTGTACATTATGTTTGAGCTGTAGTCTGGTATTTCTGTAAGAAAGTTAACACATAGCTAATCAATGTTCTCATCAACAGGACTGCACCTAAAACACAGTATACAGGATGTTCAGTTCATGAAAATAACAATGGCCAAGCAGCTTTTGAAAATCCCATGTATGACACCAACACGAAGTCAGTGGAAGGGAAGGCAGTACGATTTGATCCCAACTTGAACACGGTTTGCACAATGGTATAACGAGGCAACCTTTGCCTTCTTCAGAAGCTTGGAAATCGACACACAAAACAGTGCACATTTAGTTCACTGCTAAAAAAAAATTAAAGCACACTTTTCAGGACTTGCTGGGTCACCTTTTCCTGAGGAATGATACAGAAGAGTGTTTTTTCATAAACTGGACCATAATTCTTCATGTTTACCATGGAGAGTTTTACAGAAATTTGGCTGCACTCTGAGAGTGCTTACTCACAGTTTATTTGCTTTTTTTAAAAAGGAGATTATTCTAAAACATAAACTTATTTGCATATATTGGAGGAGCATCCACTATCAGTATTTCTGTGCTTTATAAACTATATTAGAGGGACTGGGTTTAAAAAAAAAAAAGATATAGGGTAGAAATAAGAGCTATACTTACAAGAGTCAATAGATCACTGACTTCTCTTTAACTGTCCTGAACTACATCATGCCCACAAATCTGTCTTTCATACCACTCTATCTGCCATTCATTCTTGTTAATTGAGGCATTGTTTTCCTTATTTAAGATTGAGTTATGACTTTAAATGTTTACGAGCTAATTTATGTCTCAGAACAAATAAGGTTGCCCATCCCAATTTGAATCTTTCTGTTTTTTATTCTTTAGTATCGTATTGCTCTTCTTCTTTTAGACTGGTTGTCATAGTTTCTGCAAATGGCAAGTTCATTGTGCTACTCTCCCGATTTCCCCATTATGGAGTAACCAGTATTATTCAGTGAGCTATGGGGTAGTGTTTAACTCCATGCTTCAATATGTTTTTTTCTATTTATTTTTATTATTTTTTAATCCCAAATGTGATAGTAGCTTCAATATGTTTTGTCACCCAAAAACCATTTGGCTGGCAAAAATTGTCTAGAAAGATTATTATTTTGCAGTTATCTGAGACACCAAACTTACCAGCCTTCATTTTACAATATTTTTGAAAGACCAAATAAAATGTCCTAATAATCTACTCTATTTATATCTACATTTCCTTCCAGTTGAGTCTTCAAATTTACTGTTATTTTGACACTTTTAACTTTCATTTAACAATGGATTAGAAAAACATTTTGGTCTAGCCATTAAACATAGTGACTGAAAAAAATTGTTATTATAAATCACCAATATAAATTTATTGCCTAAAATTGTGGACTTATCATATTTTTATATATTTTTAAATTTCCATACCTTTATTCTTAAACACCAAGTTTCAGATACAACAGGTTTCTTTCAATGTCAAATTAAGATATGTATTTGTAAGTTATTGGTGGCTCATTTAAACTGTATCATACAGCAATGCCAGCATTTTTATTTAATAGGTCATTGTCTTCCTTTTATAGCATGTTTTACTTCATTGAATGAAATCATGTACCCAGTGTTAACTCTTTGTTGTTGTCCCTTTCAAATATGGATAACTCTGTGAACAGTCTCGACTTTTTGTATCATGAGACAGAGTGCCTAAGAGAAACCCTTGCACCTGGGAGCGCTGCTTGGATCTATCTCTACAACATTTAGTGAATTTCTTGTAAACCACTTTGAGATACATTGTTTTGGAAATTCATACAATTTTCTCAACATTGTACTCTACTGGCAGGATGCAGTTTTAAATTTTATGCCATCAGTTATTTATTCTTGTTTATTCAAATGACTGCAATAACAATGATTCATTCATTAATGTTAAGGCTAATACATTTAAGATCTTGTTTAAACAATGTTTCTTCTGCAACTGGCTACTCCTCTTATATTAATGCATACACTTTTGTAAAGAAGTATATTTTTATGAAAAGAAACTTTGTAAAAGTATGATGTAAATTTTCAGTGCAATGTAAACAAAATAAAAATGGATAATTGCTTTTGTAAAATGTGTTTTTTCTTCCCCAAAATAAACTGCAACTGTTCAGGTTAGTAAAAGAAATGAACAGCGCACATTCATTTGTTGTTTTTAAAAGTTCCCAAACTGCATATTCTATACATTTAGTTAGCAACATAATGAAATATGAGCGTTTTTCTTCTTTAAATTCCATACTTCCTCAATTATGACACTTTTGGGAAAATTGATTCTAAGTAAATACAGTAGTAACATAAGAACTTCATCTTATGTTGAATGAGTGGTTTGCTAGAAAAAGAACAAGAATCCCATCTTAGAAGTTTCCTTAAATGCTAATATTTAACAGTACGGTCTAAATTTAGTTACATCTGATGATTTCTAATATGTCTGTAGTATATTTTCATATAGATATGTTATACTCTTTAGACATGAACTCAAAACTTTTTGAATAGATTAAACTGATACTCAAAAACAAATACATTTTTGTCAGGATGGAGGATTTCCACAAATAAATGGACCGTGTAAAAATCTGTATTCAAGAAACTTATTAAGTTTCTATAAATTCAAATTACAAGTTACTAAGTTCAATTTTATTAGATAACTCTTTTTTTACAAAACACAGTGTCTTTATATTTTCAGAACCTCAAACTCCAGACTGTATAGTCTATCTCTGTTTATTACACTTTAGCTTTAGAAAAGTATGGTTCTTGACAGAATTGTAGTTTCTTTTTTAACTTTGTTACCTCCATCTTTCACTCATTTCACATCTATAATTTCACTTGTTGTTCTTCATCTTTTTTTTAATTCTACTTTGTGTTTTTACTTTTCCTTTTTCATCCACTTTTTAATTTCTCTCTTCTGCTGTTTTTCTTTCTTTTTTTATTATTATACTTTAAATTCTGGGATGTATGTGCAGGTTTGTTACATAGGTATACATGTGCCATGGTGGTTTGCTGCACCCATCAACCTGTCATCCACATTAGGTATTTCTCCTAATGCTATCCCTCCCCTAACCCCTCAGCCCTTGACAGGTCCCAGTGTGTGATGTTCCCCTCCCTATGCCCATATGTTCAAACTGTTCAACACCCACTTATGAGTGAGAACATGTGGTGTTTGGTTTTCTGTTCCTGTGTGTAAGTTTGCTGAGAATGATAGTTTCCAACTTCATCCATGTCCCTGCAAAGGACATGAACTCATTCTTTTTATGGCTGCATAGTATTCCATGGTGTATATGTGCCACATTTTCTTTATCCAGTCTATCATTGATGGGCATTTAGGTTAGTTCTAAGTCTTTGCTTTTGTGAATACTGCTGCAATAAACATAAGAGTGCATGTTGTCTTTATAGTGGAATGATTTATAACCTTTTGGGTATATACCCAGTAATGGGATTGTTGGGTCAAATGGTATTTCTAGTTCTAGATCCTTAAGGAATCACCACACTGTTTTCCACAATGGTTGAACTAATTTACACTCCCACCAACAGTGTAAAACCGTTCCTGTTTCTCTACATCCTCTCCAGCATTTGTTGTTTCCTGACTTTTTTTTTTTTTTTCGCTGAGACGGAGTCTCACTGTGTCACCCAGGCTGGAGTGCAGTGGGGAGCTCTCTGCATACTGCAAGCTCCCCCTCCCATGTTCACGCCGTTCTCCTGCCTCAGCCTCCTGAGTAACTGGGACTACATGTGCCCACCACCACACCCGGCTAATTTTTTTGTATTTTTAGTAGAGATGAGGTTTCACCATGTTAGCCAGGATGGTCTTGATCTCCTGAACTTGTGATCTGCCTGCCTCGGCCTCCCAAAGTGCTGGGACTACAGGCGTGAGCCACCATGTTTCCTGACTTTTTAATAATTGCCATTCTAACTGGCGTGAGATGGTATCTCATTGTGGTTTTGATTTGCGTTTCTCTAATGACCAGTGACGATGAGCTTCTTTTCATATGTGTGTTGGCCACATAAATGTCTTCTTTTGAAACTCCCTTTTCATGTCCTTTGTCCACTTTTTGATGGGGTTGTTTTTGTTTTTTCTTGTAAATTTGTTTAAGTTCCTTGTAGATTCTGGATATTAGCCGTTTGTCAGATGGATAGATAGCAAAAATTTTCTCCCATTCTCTAGGTTGCCTGTTCACTCTGATGATAATTTCTTTTACTATGCAGAGGTTCATTAGATTAATTAGATCTCATTTGTCAATTGTGGCTTTTGTTGCTATTGCTTTTGGTGTTTTAGTCATGAAGTCTTCGCCCATGCCTACGTCCTGAGGGTATTGTCTAGGTTTTCTTCTAGGGTTTTTATGGTTTTAGGTCTTAAGTTTAAATCTTTCATCCATCTTGAGTTAATTTTTGTCTAAGGTGTAAGGAAGGGGTCCAGTTTCAGTTTCCTGAATATGGCTAGCCAGTTTTATCAACACCATTTTTTAAATAGGGGATCCTTTCCCCATTGCTTGTTTTTGTCAGGTTTGTCAAAGATCCAATGGTTGTATATGTGTGGTATTATTTCTGAGGCCTCTGTTCTGTTCCATTGGCCTATATCTCTGTTTTGGTACCAACACCATGCTGTTTGGGCTGCTCTAGACTTGTAGTACAGTTTGAAGTCAGGTAGCATGATGCCTCCAGCTATGTTCTTTTTGCTTAGGATTGTCTTGGGTATACAGGCTCTTTTTTCTTTCCATATGAAATTTCAAGTAGTTTTTTCTAATTGTGTGAAGACAGTCAATGGTAGCTTGATGGGGATAGCATTGAATCTATAAATTACTTTGGCTAGTATGGCCATTTTCACGACATTGATTCTTCCTATTCCTCAGCATGGAATGTTTTCCCATTTCTTTGTGTCCTCTTTTATTCCTTGAGCAGTGGTTTGTAGTTCTCCTTGAAGAGGCCCTTCACTTTCCTTGTAAGTTGTATTTCTACGTGTTTTATTCTCTTTGTGGCAGTTGTTAATGGGAGCTTGCTCATGATTTGGCTCTCTGTTTGTCTGTTATTGGTGAATAAGAATGCTTGTGATTTTTGCACGTTGATTTTGTATCCTGAGACTTTGTTGAAGTTGCTTATCAGCTTAAGGAGTTTTTGGGCTGAGACAATGGGGTTTTCTAAATATACAATCATGTCATCTGCAAATGGAGATAAGTTGACTTCCTCTCTTCCTATTTGAATACCCTTTATTTCTTTCTTTTGCCTGATTGCCCTGGCTAGAACTTCCAATACTGTGTTGAATAGGAGTGGTGCAAGAGGGCAACCTTGTCACATTCCAGTTTTCAAAGAGAATACTTGCAGCTTTTTCCCATTCAGTATGATATTGGCTGTGGGTTCGTCATAAATTGTTCTTATTATTTTGAGATATGTTCCATCAATACCTAGTTTATTGAGTGTTTTTAGCATGAAGGGGTGTTGGATTTTATCTAGGGCCTTTCCTGCATCTATTGAGAGAATTATGTGGTTTTTGTCATTGGTTCTGTTTATGTGATGAATTACATTTATTGATTTGTATATGTTGAACCTGCCTTGCATCTCAGGGATGAAGCCAACTTGATCGTGGTGGATAAGCTTTTTGATGTGCTGCTGAATGCAGTTTGCCAGTGTTTTACTGAGGATTTTCACATGGATGTTCATCAGGGATATTGACCTGAAATTTTCTCTTTTTTTGTTGTGTCTCTTTCTGCCAGGTTTTGGTATCAGAATGATGCTGGCCTCATAGAATGAGTTAGGGAGGGCCCTCTTTTTCTATTGTTTGAAATAGTTTCAGAAGGAATGGTACCAGCTCCTCTTTGTAACTCTGGTATAATTTAGCTGTGAATCCAACTGGTCCTGGGCTTTTTTTGGTTGGCAGATTATTAATTACTGCCTCAATTTCAGAACTTGTTATTGGTCTATTCAGGGATTCGACTTCTTCCTGGTTTAGTCTTGGGAGGATGTATGTGTCCAGGAATTTGTCCATTTCTTCTAGATTTTCCAGTTTATTTGTGTAGAGGTGTTTATAGTATTATCTGATGGTATTTTGTATCTCTGTGGGATGAGTGGTGATCTCCCCTCTATCATTTTTTAATGTTTCTATCTGATTCTTCTCTATTTTCTTCTTTATTAGTCTGACTAGCAGACTATCTATTTTGTTAATCTTTCAAAAAACCAACTCCTGGATTCATTGATTTTTTTGAAGGGATTTTTGGGTCTCTTTCTCCTTCAGTTCTGCTTTGATCTTAGTTATTTCTTGTCTTCTGCTAGCTTTTGAATTTGTTTGTTCTTGCTTCTCTACTTCTTTTAATTGTGATGTTAGGGTGTTGATTTTAGATATTTCCCACTTTCTCCTGTGGGCATTTAATGCTATAAATTTCCCTCTAAACATTGGTTTAGCTGTGTCCCAGAGGTTCTTGTACGTTGTGTCTTTGTTCTCATTGATTTCAAATAACTTATTTATTTGTGCCTTCATTTCGTTATGTCCCCAGTAGTCATTCAGGAGCAGGTTGTTCAGTTTTCATGTAGTTGTGCAGTTTTGAGTTACTTTCTTAATCCTGAGTTCTAATTTGATTGTACTGTGGTCTGAGAGACTGTTTATTATGATTTTTCTGTTTTTTGCATTTGCTGAGGAGTGTTTTACTTCCAGTTCTGTGGTTGATTTCAGAATAAGTGCTCCATGGTGCTGAGAAGAATGTATATTCTGTTGGTTTGTGGTGGAGAGTTCTGTAGATGTCTATTTGGTCCACTTGGTCCAGAGCTGAGTTCAAGTCCTGAATACACTTGTTAATTTACTGTCCTGTTGATTTGTCAAATATTGACACTGGGGTGTTAAAGTCTCCCACTATTATTGTCTGGGAGTCTGAGTCTTTTTGTAGATCTCTAAGAACTTGCTTTATGAATCTGGGTGCTCCTGTATTGGGTGCATATATATTTAAGATAGTTACCTCTTCTTCCTACATTGTCTTTACCATTAGGTAATGCCCTTCTTTGTCTTTTTGAGCTTTGTTGGTTCAAAAACTCTCTTATCAGAGACTAGGATTGAAACCCTTGCTTTTTTTTTTTTTTTCTTTCCATTTGCTTGGTAAAT